GAGGGAACCCACCCCCAACCTACTGGCCCCCTCCTGATCTCCAACCTGCACCCACACTGGCTTTTGACACCAGATCCCCCACCAGCAAGGCTCCAGCAGGGTCCTGGAACCAGCCCAAGAGCTCTGGTGGTCCCAGAGCTGTGACTGCCCACTGGGGAGGGGTGGTAGGATGTCCAGGCACCTCCCTTTGCCCCTGGAAGCCCAGGAGGGCAGCTCAGGCTGCTTCTCTATTGTGCAGAGAGGCTGCAGGTGAGAGCTGTGAGAACCCTTGTAGCAGGTGATGGATGGGAGGGCAAAGAGGACACGGAGGATCCCCTGCCTCCTAGGGTCAGGGCAGCCCCCTGCTCCAGCCCTCACTCGCTCCCACTGGCATGTCGAGCACCTCTCCAGCCCCAGGATCACTCAGAGGCAATAAGCAAGCCAGTCGCTGGCACAGAGCTGAGAGAGAAGGGCTTCCAGCTCACCCTCCCCCCTCAGAGCCAGAGCTCGGCTCTCCGCCACAATCAGCTCATCAGAATCCGCCTTAAAAACCAGCCATTAGGTAAATCTTACACGTGGCCTCCAGGTACCTGGGGAGGAAGAACCACCTTCAGCCAAGGTCAGTGCCGGGGTGGGCGAGCTGCTGGGCTCTGCCTGCGGGAGGCGGGGTGGATGCTGCACAGAGTAGGGGCTGCAGCAGGAAACCCACCTCCCCTCCCTCGAGCTACTGGATCCAGGGACAGGCAGCCTCTGCCACCTCTGCATGCAGAAAGGATCCATGGGCAGGTCCCTCCCCTCCCCAGGCCCCACTTTCTCCTCCACCTCCCACTTGAGGAGCTCACTGTAAGTACCCAAGTGGCTGAGGGCAGCACTCGCCTCCCTGGGGGTTTATTCATGGGGAAACTGAGGCACGTAGGAATAAAGCGCGGCTCTGCTACAACACATTCCCAGCCAAAGGCAGCTCTCCTGCTCTAAAAAATGAGACCATGCTGCTCCCTCTGGAGCCAAGAGAACTACCCAGGAATCGTGTTCCCCATCCCACCCCACCCTTGCTCTATCCTGCTATGTCCAGCCCCTCCAGGACAATGCACAGCAGCCGGTTATTCCATAACCTCCGTGTCCTTCCACCCCCTCCTCTCCTCTCCCCTGCCCCCAAGGGGCTCCTGTGCTAGGACAGGCTGTGAAGCTGCTGCCTGTCAGCATCACATCACGAGGAGCCAGCCATCTGCTTCTGCTCAGGCAGGCAGCAGAGATCACTCACTCAGACACATGTGGGACAAGCAAGTACCTGCTGGTGCAGCCCAAGCCGCAGAGTCACCCCCTCACCACCCTGCGCATCGCTGCTCTCGGTGCCATGCAGGTGCTTGCTGAACTTGGGCAGAGGCACGTTGGGCTTGCTGTCCGGGTGCAACATGTTGGCCGGGGCCAGCACGATGAAGGCGTTGGTGACCGGGCCTGGGGACAGACAGATAGGAGAGGGCGGGTCACACAGATGCGGCGTGGATGTTTGAGGGTGAGCATTGGCTTTGGGCAGCCCTGGAAACAGCAAGTGGGGGCTCTTGTGAGGACAACTGGGTTTTCCTCCTGCACCTAGGAGCTTGTCTGCAGAGCAGGGGGGAGCAAGAGTCACAGCTCCTGAGGGCTGGGAGCAGGGCACCTGGGTTCCTAACCCAGGGCACTGCAGTGTGGAATAATCCTGCTGACCCAAGGGCTTGGGACACAGGTCTCAGCAGACTGAGTCAAGATGCCCAAGCAAGTTCGGATGAAGAGGGTCTGAATAAGGGAAGTGGGGCAGATAGGTATGGTGGTGTTAAGAAGTGATGATGTCCCAGACATCCCGTGATGCCGGGGGTGTGTGAGGGGGGAGGGAGGGTCTGGATCTTGCCAGGAGGATCTGTCCATGTGTGGAGCTGGGGTGGCAGCAGCTGAGCAGCTGGAAGGAGCAGGGCTGCAGTGGGCACAGCAGAGGCTCTGCTGAGCAGCAGTGAGTAAGGGCCAGGGGGAAGCCCTGGTTTTCTGCAGGGAGCTCAGTCATGCCAGCTTCACCCTGAGGAAGTTGGGGTCCCCAGCCCAGAGGTAACAAGCACCCAGGAGCCTCCCCGCGGGTCAAGTCCACCCCTCCCCACAAGCAGAGTCGGGACTCCTTCCTTCCACCCCACAAGTCTGCTTGGAAGAGGAAGACCCCTCTGCAAGCAGGACTAGGGAGCATCTCTCTGCTCTTAAAGCCTCATGCACCTGGGCCCCACATCAGTGCAGGCAGGAGACAGCTCACTCCATGCCCGCACAGCAGCCTGGTTGTCCTCTGCAGAGCAAGCCATCCATCATGGGGCTGCGCCTCAGCCAGCTGTCACTGGGAACCACCTAGCACCCGCGTGGCACAGTTAATGAGCACTCTTAACTACTGCATTTGCCCCCGCAGGCAGCTGCTGCCCATCACTGCTCCTGGCCTACTTCCCCCACCCCGCAATGCTAGAGAGCCCCGCAGCACCCTCTGGGCCCCAAAAGCCCCGTTCTCAGGGGCAGGGGACTCGATTGCGTTTATCCTGGAGCGACAGGGGGGTGGGTACGTGTGTGCCTGTGGAAAAGAGCGCTGCTGAAGCTCAGACCAGAGGATGTTGATCTCCCTGCATTGTCCTCTCTCCCTCCCCCTCCAGCTTCATGGAGCTCAGAAATGAGGGGGTAGAAAAGTAGTGAGGATAGAGACATTTCCAGGGGAACTGGGGGAGCAGGGGAAGGGACGAAGAGGACAGCTTTGAAGTGGGCTTGGGAGGGAAGGAGCACCTGCTGCTGGGACTTGGGGACTTGCTGACCCCACCCCACAGCCGACAGGAGCCTGCCTAGACCCTGTTCCTGCCAGCAGGGCGGGATAGCTTGGATCCTCTCTCCGTACTTCCCATGGCAGCCAGGATGGTGAAATCAAGGCAGTAGGAGACTGGCTGGATGCAAGGGGTGGGGAGGGGGAACCAGCCCCATGCTCAAGCCCTGCTGTCTTTCCTCTGTCCCAAGGACTGCTTTTCTCTGAGCAGAGGATGCTCCATCACTGACATAAGAGCCTGGCACCTCAGAGGCATTGCCAGCCGCACCCTGCAAACATTAGCAGCTGGCACTTAGGGCCTTGCTCACCTCCATCCTCCAGGTCACTGGTACAATAAGTGTGGCCATTAGCACAGCAATGGCTCCTGGGGGGAGACAGGATGGGGAACTCCATGCGGCAGATGCACGAGGGCTGGAGGCATTACCGAGGAGCAGCCAGTGCCAGCTCCTCTTATCGTGGCTGCACAGAGCTCTGCAGGTAATGGCTGCAATATCTCCCTCAGGCAATGACAAGGGGAAAGGATTGCAGCTAGGACAGGCACAAGGAAGGGATCAGACACTTGGAGGAAGAGAAAGGACACTGGAGCAGCTCAGGGGGGTCTCGGGGGACATATGGCAGCCCTGACTGCATACTAGGGGCAGCGACAAACCCTGCTGCGAGAAGCTTTGCTGGCTCTGCAGGGGCTCAGCCAGGGGCCAAGAGCCAGCCCTACCTTTGTGGGTGACCGTCCGCAGGCACTGCTTGCTCTGGATCTCCCACAGCCGGACTGTCTCATCGTGCGAGCCAGAGAGCAGGAGGCTACCATCCGTGGAGACGGACAGACAGCTCACCTGGTTCCTGTGGATGGAGGGACGGGATGGTGAGAGGAGCGATGCCGTGTGCTCCTGGAGACAGGCAGAGAGGAAGAGGGGGAACCAGGCATGGGGACCAGCCTGGAGGCTCAACAATGGCCCTAGCACCTCTCTCCCTCCCTGGGAAGCCGACGGGCGAATCTATTGCTGTCTCTGCCACTGCCCTTTGCCCTTTGGCCCCCTAGTTCCCTACACCAGACACTGCCCAAAAGCCAAGGCCAAACCCTCCATGAGGGTCAGTTCTGCAGCCTCTGCCTGCCCCTCTGCACCACAAACAAGCAGCAGCCAAAAGCACAGAGCTAACCAGGCACAGCGAAAGCCAAACTGAGGCCCTGTTTCCTGTTCCCCCCACGCTAACCACTCACCCAAACTCCCCTCCCAGATCCCAGAGGCTTGGATTTCAATTCTCTCACTAAACCCTTTACACCACACTCCCAGATCTGAGAGCTGATCCCAGGCTTTGTGCTCTCTGGTCTAGCCTCTGAATCACTTTCCCCTGCAGAGCAGGGAGCAGAAACCCAATGTCCTGCCCCTTGGGGCTCTCCCTCTGCCTGGCCAGAGTTTGCTTCTAGCCTACAATTTGCCTCCACACTCAAGTCTCCCACTCCCAGAAGGCTGGGGCTACTGCCATGAGCCACCCGGGGCAAGAAAGGAAGGAGTCTGCCCTTGCCAGAGTGCGACCTAGCACGCAGAAGGAGATGGAGGTCTCCGTGTGCACGTGTGAGCACAGCGGGGCAGACAGGGCTCAGAGCAGCTGAGGGACACCTCACCTGTGTCCCTTGAAGGTCTTCCCATTCTCCCGCTCCGTCTGGAAGTTCCGGTCCCTCTGAACAGGCTGCACAAGACAGAGAGAGAAAAGGGCTGAATTAGGGTGCTGCTCTCTGGGCGACCCTGCCCAACCACCCTCATACCCTGCACTGCAGCGAAAGCAGTGAGCAGGCCAGGCCGGGCCAGGCTGCCACGGGGGCCCCTGATCCAGTGCCACCAAGGCCCCACGTGCATCCAGCCTTCTTCCCGGTGGCAAATCTCCCCCAGGCGACATGGTACTGCAAAGCTCAGACCCCAGCACAAAGGGGCAGGAGAGGGGATGGAGCAGACTGAGCCCTCAGCCCATGATGCAGGAGGGGTCAGATGGCATGATGAGGAGCAGAGAGGGACGCACAACAGGACACAGCCCCCTGAGGCAGGGAGCCAGCACACAGAGGGCATTCACAGGAGCATTCCCAGGACCCTTAAAGGGTCCCCATGTGCGCAACATTTCCATGACCCCAGGTGCTACGGGTCTCAGCTCGTGTGGACGATGATCAGATGTGAACCAGGCTCAAAGACCCCCTCTGTGCCTGCCTCCAGTCCTCCGGCTGCCAAGGAGTTAGGGTTCACACCACCCCCTCACCACTGCCTCCTGCCTTGAGGCTCGAGCTGATTCCTCTGGGGGTGCAACATGCAGCTCCCTGGGCTCTGAACAATCCAGCAGCTTGGCACCTCCCCCAGGTGAGGGGCTGAGCAAGGCTCTGATCATGGGGAGGAGAGCTTGGTGCCCAAGCAGTCGCCTATCAGCCCTGCGGAGGGTAGAGGTATAGGTGGCAGCACAGCCAAGGGCACCTCCAGCCCAGCACAGGGTGGCTGGGTGCCCTGCGAGCGCCACCACCCACCAGGAGACTCACCCAGGCACACAGTTCAACCTGGAAGACGGAGCCGTCCATACCACCACAGAACAGGTGGTACTCAGCAGGGTCCAGGGTCACCGCCGTTATGCCCACGTCGAAGAGGACGGAGAGCAGGAGCTCACCAGAGGAGATCTCCCAGAGCTGGGGGTGGGACATTGGGGACATAAAGGGCACAGTGGTTAACCACCATATTAGAACAGGGTTAGCACCTTTCAGGAAAGGCTCTCAAACCACAGAGATCATCTTCAGAGCATGACTGAGAGCTGGGACTCCTGATTGCATCAGACTGACCCTGGGCCGGTCCCTGGGGCAACTCCTGGTCTGAGATCCCACTGAAATAGCTTGTGCATGTGAGCCAGTCTTACAGGTGATATCCTGGATGACTGTCTGCTGTCTTGGGGAGGGGAGGCCAGCTGGGCTCTAGCCAGTGCCCAGGAGGCTGCAGTACACCCGGAGACCCTGGTCTGATAGCTGATGCTTGGAGGGCAGGAACCTCATCAGAGCTGGCAGGGCTGAGTCACTGCAGAGGCAGCTGCAGCTCGCCCGAGGGAGGCTGCACTTTATCCCTTTGGAGCCCTCACATGTCCTGTGGGGACTTGCTACTCCGGCCAGCAGCAGGGACCCCTGAGTGGCTGACCCGAACCCTTACCTTCACCGTCTGGTCGAGTGATGCGGTGGCAGCTCGTGCCAGGGGCCCCCCAAAGCCACAGCATAGGTCTGTGATGGGGAGGGTGTGCCGGGACCACACATGGCGGGGGTCAGGGATCTGGGTGCTCTCCACCTGCAGCACACTGCAAAAGGGGGAGGACAGAACAAGGTGGTGGTGGGGGTCAGACACCTGCAGGTTTCCACAGCAAGGTTCAGCCATGACAGCTGACTTGCCATCTCCCATGTCACTGCCTGAAAGACGGAGCCATCCACGCCAGTGCAGGACAGCAAAGAGGATGCAGTAGTAGGGAGATCAGAGGCTGAGCTCTGGGAGACTGGGTCAGAGAGCAATGCAGGAAGTCCTGGAGAAGGTGGACTGGGCAGCGCCACTCACACTGGAGCTCCCTGCTGTTCCCCTTCTCTTTGTGCCATGCCACTGCGCTCTGGGATGGACTCAAGAGCCCCCTGAGCTCAGGGCATGCCTCCCAGTCTGGGTTCCTTCTGGGCTGGCTCGAGCTCCTAGATGCCCTTGGATGGGGTCAGGTTTGGATACTGATGGTGGCAGCTGTGACACCCCCCGCCCAGTCCTACCCCAGCCCCCTCAATCCATACACAGAGGTCAAGGCACTCAAGGAACAGTTATTGTCTAACCAGCTACTGCCCAGGAGCAAGAATCTGCATATTAATTACCTGCACACCTGCCCAAAGAGGCTTGCGGTTGCCAAGTGCCAAGTGCCTCCAGAGCGTGAGACCTTGGCATGGAGATTCAGCTGGCTCAGCCAGCTACCTGTCTCCTGGCAGACTGGAAACAGGGTGCAAGTGACAGCTCCCACAGCCTACAGCAGCCCACAGCCGCAGCGATGGGGAGAGGGGTGGGATCCTGCCAACAGTTAGAATGGGGCCAGGCCACCCCCCAGCCCAGCCAGAATCCCCAAGACATCAGACAGAGATCAGTGCGTTCTGCCCCTCTTCCAGCCTGGGTACCTTGTTCCTTGCTGGGAAGAGTCCTCTCCTGCCCAGTTTCCCAGTACCTCTCCCCCACTTTAACCACGAGAACAAGCTCCTTTCCCAGAGCTCCACATAGAACCCGGGAGTCCCCGATGCCTCCGAAAGCTGGAAACAGAACCCAGGAGTCCTGGCTCCCACATCCCAGCTCAACCTACTTAGACCATAGTAGGTAAAGGATGCAAGAGCCCTGATGAGAGCAATACAATGACACCAGCCTGCGAGGGAAAGCAAGCATATGGCTGCCCACAGAGCGCTCCCTCCTGAAGAAACCCAGGGGCCGGGGGAGATGGCAGGTTGCTCTGAACGCTGCCAGTAAGGGGCCATCCATCACCTGTTTATGGGGCTGGTTCATCTCTGCTTCTCCTTGGTCTCTGTCCATTTGCTGCAAAGGACAGAGCATCCCTGGTGGTGCAGTGGGTGGAACCTTCCACTGGGGAGGAGCCAAGCAGCTATTGTTCCCCCACTCCTAGGCAGTCAACAAATCCCCAAGCCAATTCCTCCATTATGGCACCAGGCTTCATAGAGCTGGGGAACGGAGACCCCCAGATGCATACAGAGACCCCCCCAGCCTTGTGATGCAAAGTTACCTGTACAGGTTCCACACCAGGGCCAGGCAGTCCTTGGCTCCCGAGAGGAAGTGGCTGCTGTCATCGGTGAAGCAGAGGCACGTGAGGTCTTGGTAATGGCGGTTCAGGATGGCGAGGAGGTTCCCGCTGGAGACCTGGCATGAAGGGACAGCGAGAGGAAATGCAGCAGTGAAGGCACAGAAATGCCCAGGCCCTGCTTCTGATTCATTACTGGTGGTGGACCCCCTTGACCTAGGTGCTGTACACAGAGCAAAGAGTTTGGGGATGGACCGCAGCAGGTGAACAAAATAACCCGAGTGAGGTAGGAAGGCTGCCTCTGATCTGCCTCAGGATGCTCAGGGCATATAACTGGACCCGGCCCCTGACAGCATAGGGAGGTATTTATTCCCCCTGACACCTCTGGGGTATTTACTTCCAGAGGCTTCTTCACAATCAGTTTCAAAGACAGGTGTCGCCTCTCACAGCAGTGGAGACGGCCTTCAAAGTATAAACAGGGTGCAAACAGTGTAGCTTGAGTCTGCAGAGAGCCTGAAACAACACCTCCTGTGAGGTAGCAAGTCTCAAGTCGTCATCACTAGGTGCCAGGGTTAACGCTGACTAATACAGCGACACAATTAAGCGTGGCACTACACAAACATGACAAAGACTGGTCCAATCCACTGCCAACCGTATCATGTCAATGTGACATGGGGACCAAGCACACTTGTTGCCACTCTCTGAAGTTCCTCCAGCATTTGCTTTTCCCCCCACACTGTTCACCTGAAGTCCAATTAACATGGAATTTTAGGGCTGGAAGAGTCGCAACCAAAAAACAGCTGCTGCTCTACCAATAGGTGGGCTCTCTGCTCTCCCATGTAAACCCCAGTGCAGCTGGGCACCACAGTGTTTTCTGAGCAAGAATGTGCTACTTTCACTGCCTGGAAACCAGCAGGTGGATGGAGGCAGGGTCTCCCTCTGACCCTCGGAGCTGGGTTCCCCATGGAACAAGCTGACCTGGCTCTTCCCACGATTGAAGCAAGCAAGGTGGGGAGATGCAGAGAAGAAACCCCTTTTGTTTTGGTCCTCTCTGCACTTACCCAGGCACAGCTCATTCCCCTGAAGGTTGGGGGAGCTGCTGTCTGGCAAGGGGACACTGCACCAATGCTGCTGTGGGGACATAAACATGACAGCGGCTGGGCTGAAATACTCCACTCCCTCCTGCGCGCTCATTAAGCCCGGGTAAAAGGTTGCTGAGAGAGGAGCCCTGGCTGGCTCTTGCAGTACACAGGCCTGCAAGGAGCCCGGGAGTCAGCAGTTTGGGAATGAATGATTTAGGTCTCTGCAGAGAGGGAAGGAGGGGACGGCCAGCCTGAGCCACAGGTCCAAGTGGGGAGGAGAAGCAAGACAGCCAGGCAAGGCTGGGGAGGATTTTGGTTACCACCTCTGAGGTATTTAATTGCCTGCCTGGAATGCAGGTATCTGCAGCACAGTCCCACCGCACAGATGGGAACCAAGGGGCACAGGTTACAGTGATTTAACATGGGGCCAGACCCTGGTTACCCAGGACCCAGGCTGGACTGGGATGGCTCTGACTGCCCCACACTGCTCAGTGGAAGCAGAGGTGCCACACCTAGCTCAGTCAACACAGCCCTCCCAGGTGGGTTAGGCAAGCCCCCCAGCCCACTGTGCTCTTGTTCTTCCAACGAGCCCTGACTCACGAGGGTCTGATGAGTGCATCTACCCAGCTATCCCCTCCAAGTGCCTGGGGAACTCAAAGCTCAGCCCCTGCCCCCTTGCGGCCACTTTGGGACTGCACAGAAATGACTTGGAAAACCCGTGGTCACAAGAAATTATGAAGAAACTGCCTTAGAGCTGTGGGTTTCAGCCTGTGGTCCGTGGACCCCTGGGTCCACAGACTCTAAAGGGTTCATGAAAGATGACTATGATCAATCAAAAGCTTGTGAATACCCACGCTTACAATTCAGAGAGGTCTGCACCCCCATTCAAAACTTCCAGAGGGGTCTGAAATGAAAAAAAGGTTGAAAACCACTGGCCTAGACAGTCTTCAGCCAGTCGCAGAGGAGCAATGACTGATGCCTGATGGGACGGGAGCTCTCACCAACGGCACAGGATGCAGATCTCTGCGTACACTGCGGCAGCTGCCCAAGACTCACATCCACCTGATGCAGAAGCGTGTCTCAGTTTCCCTCTCCAGGGACTGCCAAGGCCTCGGGTTTTTATGGGACCCAAATGTATTTGAACCTAGCCAGGTCTTCAAAGCCATTTGTGGGAACTTTCAAACCACCTCTCCTATGCCCAGGATAAAGGGCTCCCCAGGTTCTGCCCTTGCGGTGAAGGTCCAGGGAAAAGAGGTGGATGAGTCTGAAGGCGTGAGGCTGCTGCCAAGGAAGCAGGGCCCTGGCAAACTCCCAGGATGCTGCACACTGCTGTTCATCGTTTCCTGTGCTAATACAGCCCCCAACTTTTAGAGTCAGGAGACAGAAGTACTGAGTTTTCTTCCAGATCCTACCACTGCTTTACCCCAAGGAAGTCACCAACTCTCAGCTTACAAGCAGGCGTAATACAACAAGGTCTCAGGAGAGGTGGGGAGCTTCGTTAATGGAGGGCTTGATGGTTTCAGAATGGGAGGCATAAAAGGCCTCCAGTTCTGCTCATTTTGCCTACGGTGCGGTTTTACTTCCCTCAAGCGGCCATCTAAACACCCAGCACAACGGTGAGAATTCATCACTGTTATTAAGTGCCAAAGCACTCGGAGCTGGGTCAGCCCTGGGCACAGAGGCTGGAAAAGACACATTTGTGTGAGTCACAGCAAAGCCATTTCATTACCCCAACCTCTGCTGTTTTGCAGCTGCGCTGGGAGTGCATCAGCTATTTGCAGAGGGGTCTTTGCTGACGCAAGGTCTCATTTCTAACTCACCTAACTTTGAACATCATCTCCCATGCTGCTCTTACCTCCCACAGATAGATGCTCTCAGCGATGCCTGCCAGGATGTACAGACCATTGGGAGAAGCGGTCAGGCAAGTCACGAGCCCAGGGCATATGATCTTCTGCTGGAGCTGGTCCTAGAAGCAGAGAACATCAGTCAGAAAAGGGGCAGAGATGTACTGGGGACGGAGTGAGTAAAGGAGCTGGGGAGACAAGTGAGGACGCAGGTTTAATTCCACACCGGGCCACAGGAAGGACGCCCTTACTGACAGCACTTAACGAGCAGCCTTAATTCATGCTTGGTGTTTCTGCCTGGGCCACAAGGGTCTGGAGATGAATTGCAGAAAAGTATAGAGTGGGAGATGATGGGCAGGTACATGCTGGAGAGACACGTGCCCACCCTAAGGAACAGAGCTGCCAGGGTGTTTGTTGGCTTGGCTGCAGTCACCACGTGGATGGGACCACAGGAGCAGGAGACTGAGCTAAAAGAGATGCTCTTCTCCCCCTTCCTTCCCTCCTTCCCTGCACTGTTTCAGCCCCTGGAAGCAAACCAAGGGGGTGGCAGGCAACCCTGCCTATTCCACGGTGGGGGGAAACCCCAGAGACTCAGCACAAAGCAGCCTGGGGGTTAAGGAGGTTACGGTGAAACAACGCAACACCCGAGCCTGCAAATTTGGGGCAGAAGCTCTCGGGGACATGGGTAGGGTTAGAGGTGGGGGGAGGCGGCACAGGAGGAGGTAGATGGCGGCGGTGGGGGA